GTGCGTCCGTAAAGTAACGGATATAGGCGATAAAATCATTATAAACGGTTTATGGAAAAATCCCTGAAACGGGTCTAAAGATTTAAATTTTTTGCTATTGTTTGGTGTAGATTTTAAATTTTTTCCGCCATTTTTAAGCGAGTTATGTCGTCATCGGTATTTTTTTCAAATGGCAATCACCCATTTTTATTACGGAATATGAAAGAAGATTCTTTTCTGAATCTAATACAGTCAATATTAATATTGCTTACATAAGAAAATTTCGAGAAAAATTACTTTAAAGTTTAACTACTTCAGATTTTACTGCTGCAATCATTATTTCTTTCCATTTTATTTTTATTTTGAATCAAGTAAAATGCTTTTATCTTTCTGTACTTTTTATTAAAACGGATGTAATGTTACCAATTCTACCGGTTTCGGCCCTTTTATAAGACCATCTTCAGGATCTTTCGAATTTCGTCAATTTAATTTTATTTTAAAGTTCTCGTGACTAGTAGAATTGCGTATCGAGTCCAAACCAACGAACAAGATGAAACTGTGTGTGCACGTGTTTGTTAACTTTATAGGTTCTCAACCTCAATGGTTCATAAAGGGGCATTTAAGGGACATTTACATTGAGTGGACAATCAAATAAACAAAGTTGTCGGTATTGCGCCACCCAAAATCCAAATTAGCCAAGAAAATCGCACTCCCAATATCAGCAAAAGATTTGAGAAAACCTTAAGTGGAAAGAGATGTTTAAATTTTTTCAAAGCGATGTCATTTCTTCCATCCCGATAATGTTGACACAACTCAATTCCAACGGCAGTTATTCCAACAAAATGGCGCGCCACCACACTTCAAGAAGCTTTACTAAATCAGTTTTTGACACTTAGGGAATTGTTTAGAATAATTGGTTACCATAGTTATTCATGGCTACTGCTATTTTTATCATTAAACAAATTTGAAGTAATTAAACTTTAAAATAATTTTTCTCGAAAATTTTCTTATGTAACCAATATTAATATTGACTATACTAGATTCAAAACAAATGGCGGAAAAAATTTGAAATCTACACTAAAAAATTTAAATCTTTAGACCCGCTTCAGGGATTTTTCCATAAATCGTTTATTATGATTTTATCGCCTATATCCGTTACTTTACGGACACACTGTATAGCATAGAGCCTGCCAACTTGTTGGCAGCATGAGCTACTAAATGTGATAGCTTATAACTTAACCTCTTTGCATAACTAAAATTGTTAGTTCTAACACTAGAACACCTGCAACTAGAAAGAATTAGAAAGTTCCGGGGTCTAAGTTCTGGGAACTAGAAATATTAGAAACTTAGTCTAGTGTTTCTAGCGCTATCTAGTGCTAATTAGCACAACCTAATACTGTCACTAAAACTAACATCTAGTGTTAGTTCATAAAAGATATATAACAACCTGGCGCGGATTTACAAGTTAAACTAGAACTAACACTAGACCTAGAACTAGAAATATGTAATAATCTAAATCTAAATATATCTGAAGACGCACGACTAAACCCGAAACTTTCTAGTTCTAGGTCTAGTGTTAGTTCTAGTTTTATTACTTCATTACAAATTTATACAAATTTAATTTTAAAATATTAATTTCTGTTGATTAGTTTAGAAGAGATGCATAAAATAGAATTAAAAGCTTACCAAGATGATTGTGAAAAATGGAGAGAAGAAGTTTTATGTTTAAAGACGTTTGTATCAAAGTTTCAAGGAAGTACATCAGAAAAAAGTGCAGATTTACAAAAATTAATTAAAGATAAAGATAATAGAATTCATGAATTAACAGTTCATTTACGACAATTAAAAGTAAAATGAAATAAATTTGATAAAAATTATTTAAATATTCTAATAAATACTTATATTTTAGATAGCAGCAAGAAAAAAAGAAAATAACGAAACACCTCGTCTTCAAGAAGAAGAAAACGCAAAAAAAGAAATCCAAAAAGAACTAGAAGTTGTAAAGAAAAAGTGTGAAAATTTATTAACAAAAGAAAAAAATTATCGAGAAGAAATAAGAAATTTAAAAAGTCAATTAATGAAACGACCGATCTCCTCATCATTATCATCGCAAAAATCGGACATAAAAGATCAGCTTTATAAAAAAATTACATCCCTTGAAAACGAAAATTTAGAATTAAAAGAAAACCTTCGACAGCAATTTCAAATCAACGAAACTCATCGTATAAAAGTTGCCGAAGATTTCGATAAATGGAACAAGCAAAAACAGTTTCAACAAACGGCCGATAAATTAAAAATCAAACTAAAAGAGAAATCGGAAGAATGCGAAAAATTACAACAAACCTCGGCCGGTTATCGAATATTAATCGAAAAATTAGAACGGGAAAAACACGCGTTAGAAATGAAAATAAAAAATTTCAAAACAACTTCAGAAACTACCAACAAAAACGAGTTATTACAGATTGAAAATGCGAGACTTTCGGCGGAAATCGAAGCGGTTAATGCTAAATATGAGATGGCTCAACATCATTCGGGCGGGTTAGGTGCTGTTATGTTGCAGGAGAAATTGGAGGCGCAAGAAAGAAAGATTGCTATTTTGGAATTAGCCGGAAAGGTAAGATTTTTTTAATTTTAAATTTAAAAGTTGTTCCAACGCTATATTCGTTCCATTTCAATCCAAACCCCATTAGCCGGGGCCAAGGTGATTCCCTTCGTTTCCATCTTTAACGGCAATATCGTTTTTTCACTTAATTTGAATTTAAAACTTTTTAATAAAACGACTAACGCTAGTTTTGATTGAACAGTTGCAAATTTCATACCTAAAACAAAATTAATATTAATTAATTTGTAATTACTAATTACACTTATTCCCCGATTTACACGGAAGATAACTGTGTAAACTGAAATCTTGGATTTTGTTAAGTAAAATCGTGTACAACAAATAACCCAAAATGTGTATGATGGTGTCATTTATTAAATAAACAGTAAGTAACTTAAAAAAATTGTTAGCAGCCCTACATCTGGAACCCTGTAACTTTACTTATAAACTGCCAACTTGTTGGCAGCATGACCTATTGCATTCCAGAGCTTCTGTTCTATAGTGTAGAGCCTGCCAACTTGTTGGCAGCATGAGCTACACATCTGGAACCCTGTAATTTCGCTTATAGGCTGCCAACTTGTTGGCAGCATGAGCTACTACATCTGGAATCCTGTAATTTCGCTTATAGGCTGCCAACTTGTTGGCAGTATGAGCTATTGCATTCCAGAGCTTCTGTTCTATAGTGTAGAGCCTGCCAACTTGTTGGCAGCATAAGCTACGCATCTGGAACCCTGTAATTTCGCTTATAGGCTGCCAACTTGTTGGCAGCATGAGCTATTAAGTACCAGATCTTCTGTTCTATAGCGTAGAGACTGCCAACTTGTTGGCAGCATGAGCTACTACATCTGGAATCCTGTAATTTCGCTTATAGGCGCCAACTTGTTGGCAGCATGAGCTATTGCATTCCATAGCTTCTGTTCTATAGCATAAAGCCTGCCAACTTGTTGGCAGCATGAGCTCCTACATCTGGAATCCTGTAATTTCGCTTACAGGCTGCCAACTTGTTGGCAGTATGAGCTATTGCATTCCAGAGCTTCTGTTCTATAGTGTAGAGCCTGCCAACTTGTTGGCAGCATAAGCTACGCATCTGGAACCCAGTAATTTCGCTTATAGGCTGCCAACTTGTTGGCAGCATGAGCTACTACATCTGGAATCCTGTAATTTCGCTTATAGGCTGCCAACTTGTTGGCAGCATGAGCTATTGCATTCCATATCTTCTNTATATAATGCTTTACCATTGAAGTTAAGGAAACTGTAGGGCAAAATATTTCAAAGGGAAATGAAGAGAATGTTAATAGAAAATGAACTTTATACACTTGAGGAATCTAATCTTAAGACAGCTAAACCAAAATGTTTCTAGTTCTAGGTCTAGTGTTAGTTCATAAAAGATATATAACAACCTGGTGCGGAATTACAAGTAAAACTAGAACTAAAGAAAAAGCTAAAACTAGAATTACAAGTAATTAGTTCCAGTTTTATTACTTCATTAAAAGTATATAGAAGAAGAACTAAACCTGAATATGTCAGGTTTAGAAATTTCTTCTAAGCATCCATCAGAGTAAGAGATTCATGATTCTCCATTTATTCTAAGATAAACCTCAAAGTTTGCTTAATGTAAGCAGTGAGATAAGGAAGTTGTATTCTTCGGTAAAAAAACAAGCTTTACATTTTTGTGTTATAAATCTGGAGCATTATCAATTAATAGAAGAGCAATCCCTTATTTGTTAAATAATTTTTGACATCAAGAACAAAGAAGTTATAAAACCATTCATTAAAAGCTATGACAGTGATCCATGCTTTTTTATTAGCCATCCAATAGACGGGAAGGTTTTTGATGTTTATTCCTTCATCATATAATCGCCTGAAGCATTGCAACAGAAAAGAACTGTTATACGATTTTTCGCAACTTTTTGACCACTAGCTGATTTGTGAGCTTTGGCTATGAAGTGTAGAAGTTAGCGGCAATGATTTCAGCAAATTTTTTAGGATATTGTTGTGCTGCAACCTTTTAATCTCAGATTATTTATAGAATGTCTTTGTTTAAATCTCTCCAACCACCCATGGCTTGCGCAAAAATAAATCTCTTCACCGGATGAAATCGACGGTGACTGATAAATCTTTAAAGCTTTATTTGTAACAAATAGCATTGGTGTCGATCGGGATTCGCTTTTGAGTTTGGTTCTATCCATATCATTAATGCTTTTTCCATATTTTCCATTGTAACATCTTTAAACATACCAAATCGTACTCATGGTGCCGCAGGTTCTAGCTGCTACACTTTTTCTGATGGAGTCTTTATTTTTTCTTACTGTCCTTTTTGGATTCATTCATGGAGTCAAATTTTGCAACATCCATTTACTCTTTCTCTATTACAAACACGATCTAATATTTGAATAGACCTAGAACTAGAATCATTCGGGTTTAGCCGTCTTGAGAGACGTGCGGCTAAATCCGAATGTTTCTAGTTCTCGGTCTAGGGTTAGTTCTAGTTTTACACTAGCACTAACACAAGACCTAGAACTAAAACGTCATCGTTGCAATATTTACAACACAATACAATTATACAAACCAAATACGCAAATCGCGTATATCGCTACCTACACTGTGATTTTGGTTGCATACTTGCAATGATGACGTCGTTACACTTGCAAGGATTCTTTCAAAAGGAAGCTAGTTTTGAAGATATTTCAAGTGTTCCAGACTTTTTATTCACCCTGTATGTGTATATGCATGAAGTATGTGTCATGCATGTATGTGCATGAGCTACTACATTTAGAAGCTTGTAACTTCGTTCATAAGCTGCCAACTTGTTGGCAGCATGTGCTATTGCATACCAGAGCTTCTTTTTTATAGCGTAGAGTCTGCCAACTTGTTGGCAGCATGAGCTATTGGATACTAGAGCTTGTATTCTATAGCGTAGAGTCTGCCAACTTGTTGGCAGCATGAGCTATTGGATACCAGAGCTTCTGTTCTACAGTGTAGAGCCTGCCAACTTGTTGGCAGCATGAGCTACTATATCTGGAACCCTGTAACTAAAACTTATAGGCTGCCAACTTGTTGGCAGCATGAGCTATTGCATACCAGAACTTCTGTTCTATAGCGTAGAGACTGCCAACTTGTTGGCAGCATGAGCTACTACATCTCCAAGCTTCTATTTTGTAGCGTAAAGCC